CTTCCACCTCAGCCTTCCAAGTAGCTGGAACTACAGATGCACGCCACCACGCCCGGTTAGTTTTTTTGTGTGATTTATTGTAGAGACGAGGTCTTACCAAGTTGCCCGGGCTGGTCTCGAACCCCTAGGCTCAGGCAGTCCTCTCGCCTCGGCCTCCCTAAGTGCTGGGATTATAGGATGAGCTGCCACGCCCGGCCTTGAGTTGGTATCTTATGCTGTTGCCCAGGCTGGAGTGCAGTGGCACAATCACAGTTACTGCAGCCTTGACTTGCAGGCTCAGGTGATCCTTCTGCCTCAGTCCCCTAAGTAGCTGGGGCTACAGGCATGCACCACACCCAGCTAATTTTTAAAAAATTTGTTTGTAGAGATGAGGTCTTATTATGTTGCCTAGGCTGGTCTCGAACTCCTGGGCTCAAATGATCCTCCTGCCTCAGCCTTCCAAAGTACTGAGATTGCATGTATGAGCCACTGTGTCCAACCTTACTTATATATTTGTTTTTTTTTTTTTTTTTTGAGACCATGTCTTGCTCTGTTGCTCAGGCTGGAATGTAGTAGCACAGTCACAGCTCACTGCAACCTCAATCTCCTGGCTAGGCAAGTATTCTTAGGCAGGTCTAATCTAGAACAGGGTAAGCATTCAGACATCGGTCTTATTCATACATGACCTTCACTTGACTGGCCTGACATATCAGACCTGATCACCTTGCTGGCTGGAATGTGGATCTACCAGTGCAAAAAATCAGAGAAACAAGAGGGAGTTACCCAAAACACAGACATGATATTCTAAGAAAAGCCCAAATCAAGTTAGGCAATACCTTAATTATTTAGAAGGTCCCTGTGACCTTAAAGTTTGAGACATGGTCATCAAAACTCATGACCAGACACCTGCCGACCTCTACTCTAAGCTCATGGTTTGCTTAATCATCCTTGTAAAAGTATATAAAGCTTGTTGCCAAAGGCAAGTGCGTAACCTCTCTTACGCATGTCTCTTTCATTCTAATAAATTCTGTCTTAAAATGTACTTTTTAGCTGGGCTCGGTGGCTCAGCCTGTAATCCTGCGCCTTTGGGAGGCTGAGGTGAGTGGATTGCCCGAGCCCGCAGGTTCAAGACCTGCCTGGACAGGCGAGACCTCATCTCTACAATAAAAAATTAGCCGGGCGTGGTAGCACGCGCCTGTAATTCCTGCTACTCGGAAGGCTGAGGTGGAAGGATCGCCAGAGCCCAGCAGGTCGAGGCTGCGGTGGCCGGGAGCGGCCACTGCACTCCAGTCTGGGTGACAGAGTGAGACTCCAACTAAAAAAAAACCCAAAAAAACCAAAAACAAACAAAAAAATGTACTTTGTTTTTTTTTTGAGTTGAGTTTCACTCCATTGCCCAGGCCAGAGTGCATGGCACGATCACGGCCACCCCAGCGTCAACCCACTGGCTTCCGGTGATCCTTCTGCCTCAGTCTTTCAAATAGCAGGAACTACAGGCGTGTGCTACCACACCTGGCTAATTTATTTATTTGTTTATTGTAGAGACAATGGCTCACCAAGTCCCCGGGCTGGTCTTGAACCCATGGGCTCAGGCAATCCACTTGTCTTGGCCTCCCAATCACAGTTACTGCAGCCTTGACTTGCTGGCTCAGGTGATCCTTCTGCCTCAGTCCCCCAAGTGCTGGGATGACAGGCTGAGCCTGGCCTACTTTTTTTTTTTTGAGTTGAAGGTCTCACTCTGTTTGTGCAGACTGGAGTGCAGGGGCACACTCACAGCCACTGCAGCCTCAACCTGCTGGGCTCAGGCAATCTTTCCGCCTCAGCCTTCCAAGTAGCTGGGACTATAGGCACGCGCCACCACACCTGGCTAATTTTTCAATATTGTGGAGACGGGGTTTTACCATGTTGCCCAGGCTGGTCTCAGACTCCTGAGTTCAGGCAATTCTCTCACCTCAGCCTCCCAAAGTGCTGGAATAATAGGTATGAGCCACTGCACCTAACCATAAACTATACTACTTGCTCAGAAATTCTTTTCTGTGGCGGACTCAAAGAACCAATGGGAACAACACACCATACTCCATTTAGCATCTTGATCTTGGATATCTAGCCTCCAGGATTGTGAGAAAATAAATGTCTATTTAAGTCAGCCAGTCTGTGGTATTTGTTGAAGCAGCCCCAGCTAATGAATATATCACCCCTATGTAACTCCCAATGAAATAAGAGATCAGGTCAGGCTCAGTGGCACAAGCCTGTAATTCCAGCACTTTGGGAGGCCGAGGTGAGAGCATTGCCTGAGCCCAGGAATTCGAGACCAGCCTGAGCAACTTGGTGAGATCTCGTCTCTATAATAAATCAAAAATTAAGCCAGGCTTGGTGACTCAGCCTGTAATTCCACACCTTAGGAGGCTGAGGTGAGTGGATAGCTTGAGCTCGCGGGTTCGAGACCCGCCTGGGTAACTTGGCGAGACCTCATCTCTATAATAAGTCAAAAATTAGCCGGGCGTAGTAGCGTGTGCCTGTAGTTCCAGCTACTCGGAATGTTGAGACGGAAGGATTGCCAGAGCCCAGCAGGTCGAGGCTGCGGTGGCCGGGAGCGGTCACTGCACTCCAGTCTGGGCGACAGAGTGAGGCTCTAACTCAAAAATAAATAAATAAATAAATTAGCTGAGCATGGTGGTGCACACCTGTGATTCCAGCTACTTGAAAGGCTGAGGCAGAAGGATCGCCTAAGCTCAGCATGTTGAGACTGCGGTGGCTGTAAGCATGCCACTGCACTCCAGCCCGGGCGACAAAGT